CCCAGCTACCCACCTGCTGCAACACGTCCAGAACAGGAGAGACAAGTGCGGGCGCCAGCCGTAAGGCGAGACAGGAGAGCACGACATGACCAGCACCGGGCACAGATGATCGGCTCACCGACACACTACACCCTGCGTTGTCACATGAGCCCAGCAGACACACTCTAACCCAGGAAAGCAGGCATTCCTCTCAGCCCACTGTCTCCAGCAGCCCGACGGAGCAGGACAAGGGGAACAGAACGACCTACGTGCAGGGACCCAGTGGACACAAACAGTTTGCAGATTTGTGACTCTCACATTTATAATGCATTTTTACTGCTCTAACACACATAGTTTGCCATATGCTTTGCTTTACTTGTTTTTATGCTACATTCTAATTCTCTTGCAAATACTATGTGAAGATGATGTAGGCAAATGTAATAAGCAACTGTTATAAGCAAATGTTAAGAATTCAGATGTTATATGCAAAATATAGGATCTCCATCTACTTAAGTGACTACAGCGATGACTCAGCTAGCATGTACCTACTCCTGTGGATCTAACTACCTACTATAGCCAATCTAGCAACGTCAAGCATAAATTGTTATACACTTGTTTCATTTAATTTAACTCTGTTAGTTAAGCTAGACACACTCGGTTAGTTAAGCTAGAAATTTTTTTTTTTTAAACTGCGATTTTTCATGCCACTGCTAAACATGTATTAATCCTGCAATACGCTGTTGTGGCGTCTGTTGAAACCTTGTACCCACCCGCACAACAAAAATAAAGAATTAAAATAAATAAATAAATAAAATAAAAAATAGATGACAAATCATTAGTAATCAAACCAGCAGATAAGGGAGGGCGGATTGTCATTTGGACAATCCCCTCCCTGAAATCAAAATTAAATATTAAGAGTTTTTAGATGAAGGTTTTAATACAGGTATTTTAACGAGAAAAGAGTGAATTCTTTTTAGACACCAAATATCTTGCGAATACCAGTGATATATGTCTTACCAAAAGTACATAAAGATGTTAATAACCCTCCTGGTAGACCAATAGTCTCTGGAATCGGATCACTTTTATCCCCTTTATCTCAGAATATAGATCAATTATTACAAAAAATGGTTGTTAAAATTCAAGCATACCTAAAAGATACGATGAGTTTATTACAAATTTTAGATAATGGCATAATGATCTTATTATGGTAACATGTGATGTAAGCAGTCTATATACAATAATTCAACACAATAAGGGATGCAAGGCGGCTAGTTTTTATTTGGAAAAGTTTGAAAACATAAATAATCTACAATGGATTATTTAAATGAAAGGAATTAATTTTATTTAAAAAAATAATAATTTCTGGTTTGAAAATAAATGTTACCTTCAAAGGTACGGCTATGGGGACCAGATTTGCCCCAAGTTATGCCAATCTTTTATGTCCTTCTGGGAAGAAAAGTGTGTCTTCTCCAGAGAGGACATTGGGCAAATCTGGTCCTATATAAACGTTATATAGACGACATTTTTATCATCTGGAAAGGTAGCAAGCAAACTTTAGAAGAATTCATTATATCTCTTAATCATAACCTTTTTAATATTAGATTATCTTATGAAATTAATTCTCAACAAATTCACTTTTTAGACCTGATAATATATATATAGAAAATAATACAGTTAAGAGTAAGACTTTTTTTTAAGACAGTCGATGTGAATAGTTTTATTGATTTAAAAAGTTGTCATTTTAAACCGTGGTTGAACAATATACCAAAAGGCCAGTTTTTAAGGATGAAAAGAAATTGCACTGAAAAAGAAGAATATTTTAAACAAACAAATATTTAAAAAAAGAAATTTCTCGAAAAAGATGTTGTACAGTTAGAACAAGTAAAGAAAGAAATTGGTGAGAAAGAGAGGCAATCCCTCCTGAAATACAAAATTAAGGAAAGAAAAGAAACAGGTGTGGAAAAAGAAAAAATCCCTCTAATTTTTAATTTTAGTTCTAACAAATTATTAAAAAAACACTGGCATATCCTTAAAGGAGACCATGAAATACTTCTGTTTTTAGATGTTCAACCAAAATTTATTTTTATAGGAGCAAATAATTTGAAACAGATTTTAACAAAAATAATTTTAGATAAAGAAAATGCTAACGCAGATGGTAATTTTTTAAAGGGAAGTAAAGGGTTTTATTACTGTGGTACGTGTAGAGGATGTAATTTTAGAACAAAGAAGAACAGAAAAACTGAAAAGTTTACTTCCTCGGTCACGAAAAAAGAATATACAATAAAATCGTTTATCACTTGTTCCAGTAAAGATGTAATCATGTTGATTTGCCAATGCAGCTTTCAATATGTAGGTAAGACATCACACACTTTAAAAACAAGAATTAGGGAACCTATCTATAATATTCAGAGAAAATATATCAACCACAGTGTACCCAAACATTTCCTAGAGGTCCATAATGGGGACCCTAAGGGAATTGAGTTTATTGGGATAGACAAAATTCAGGTCCACTGGAGAGGAGGGGATAATAGCTATATGTTGGGCTTAACAGAAATGATGAGGATGTTTGAATTAGATACGTTAATACCACAGGGCTTGAATGTTGATTTCAAAATTAATCAATATGCACAATAATGACTTTTTACTTGCCCTTTCTTCCCCTCCTGTTAGTAACATTTTACTTATTTATTTATTATTTTATTATTTTAAATGTTTAATTTTATTTTGCATGATCTATTTTCCCAAGAAATGCATTATTTTCCTCTTTTTTTTTTTTGATTGTTTAAAAGTTGCTGTTTATTTATGCACACTGTTTCATTTCTTTTTTTTTTTTTTTTTTTTTTTTTTTTTTGCTGTGCATGGTTTAACATTCGTATATCAGTAATGCCACAACAGCATTCGCAAACAGTTTACAAGCACTTATTCGCTAACTGCTGAACAGCATTAGAGAAAACGCACATTTTTTTGGTTAATAATGCAAGCTAGATACAAGCTGGGTAACTACGTCTGTCGTGAATTATTTGTCGATTAATAACAGTAGCTTAAGGTTGAATTTTGTTATGTATCACCGCTTTAGTGTCATTGATATGGTTATGCATGACTATGCTTAAGCGAAGGACATACATTTTGTTCAGTAACAGCATAACATGTAGTAGGTAAGACATTAAATTAACGTTCAGGTTATGATAGATTACGCAGTGCTGACTATAGAGAAGTATGCAGTTCTATTTCGGTTTCCAGCTTAGCTAATATTATCATTAAAGCAGGGTGCCACCAGGCAGAGGATCACACATTCCGCTATCTCCCTCAGTACGTACTAAGCTTAAACAAAAATTAACTATATACAAGGTTATATGCAGAGGTTGTGTATGTTAGTCAACGCATACTGTACATTATGCTTCATATTGTGAACGGCTGGGGGCACCGCCAGCTCCAACTGAGCGCAAAGCGTGAAACAGCAGGGTCATAGTCCATGCCTAGGTGTGGGGAGAGTTCTTGGAGATTACCCTATGAGATCCTATAGTCCCGCCATAGCTTCCCAGTTGATGGGCATATTTGAGTGCCGTGCCTTGTAAGCCTTGGTGTGCAGTCAAGGGCTGTAGCACCTTGCGGTCAATGGTTGTTTATTCTTTCAGCACCGATCGTGGATGGAGCTTGCTCGGTCTGATGTGGCCCGGAGTGCGCTTCGGGTATTGCCGCTTTGACACGGGTACGTGGTAGAAGTGCTGGCTGTCATCTCTCAGCATGCATGTGCCAGTGTCGCTGTGTGGGGGCTCAAGGGCCCGTAAGGACCTCCTGTGATAACAGCTCAGGTTGTGTGTGTGTCGTCTCAGAGGGATTACCGTCTCAGTCAGCGAAGTTGCTGTGCAGCAGTCGGCCATTTTGATGAGGCCGCGTGGTAGCCTTTCTCCTACTGCTTCGGGCCGCCCAGGTGAGATGCAAAAGCGGTAGCCCGCCCGGTGGGGGCCGGGATGACCCCCCCGGCCCACAGGGGGGGGTAACGGGACCAGGAGTGCGCCAGGCAAATGATAGTTGCTGTCGGGACGGAGAGCGAGGCAGCGGCCGTCCGCCTCACTCCCTTCCCGGGTAGGCCTCAATCTCTGAGCCCCAGAGTCTCTCACCAGGACCTAGGGCCACCCTGCTTCGGGCGCCCCAGCTACACCGGGACACTCCAGAGCTTCTTGCCGTGGACCCCCGGGTCAGTATAAGCCGGGTAAGATGGGTATATACCCTGAATTTCTTTGATTCCTCGGGGAGCTCTTGTGATATGCAGCCTGCTGGCATGGCCGCCCGGCCCCGCCCCCTTATTTTCCTCTTTTAATGGTATACTATATACTTTTTTATCCATTTTTAATGTTTAGTTTTTATTACCTTGTATTAATATTAGAATTATGTCTTTAGTTAAATTTTCACAAATATATGTGTATCCGACCGAGTACCCTCCATTGATGGACGCTTCCTAGCTTGCACCGAGGACCACAAGCACCACACCGGACACCACAACCACCGCAGACTCCACAACCGCCGTAGCTTAACTGGAGCCTCGCCGTCTTCCGTCCACCCTGGAACAGCTTCTGTCCTCCAGGACCATGTGGGCCTCTTCCTTCCACCCTGTATGAACCTCCAGCATCCAGGACTGTGTGGGGAAGACCTCTCCCCCAAGGAGAGCGTGTCAGGAACAAGCTCTTAAAAGAGCTAAGTGATTCAAGCTCAGGGGAGCATGCAGAGCATAACAATCCCCAGTGTGATAATAACAGCTCCCGCCAATAACAAGACAAGGCTACATTTAGAGGGATCAAGAAGAACTGTCTAAACCTTTATTTTACTTGGGACTAGCCCATCACATTAACATTGCTGTGAAAACTCAATAAAATTACAAACAGCCAAATCATAGCAGGCAACATACAGTGACTCATTATAACACAATGGCATATTTTTAAAGGGGTGGGAGAGACAATATTTAACAGAAAATATCTCACGTGCCTGCAGAATTAGCAATATGCAAATCTACCCGAATATGCAAATGAACCAGTCTTGCTATTCAGGTAGTGCATATTGCTGTTGCTACCAACAGAGGGCACTAGACAAGCTCCATAGCCAAATCCAGGAGAGCAGGCAATACATTTTACAGTATACACACACACACACACACTATAAACAATGGGTACAGGATGACTAAAACATTAGAGAAATAAAGCAACCTACATAAATAGTCCGTCTGAAGGTAGAATAGTGGCTTTAAAGCCAAATACATGAAAGAGTCATAGTCACAGGGGAGGAGGCTGGCAAGCAGGCCTCTCCAGGACCAAGTGGCGAAGGGCACTTCGTCACAATATGCAATATGTTATGTTTTAATTATGCTTTTAGTGCCGGTAGGAAAGACTCACTGTTTAATGTTAATGTATAATGAGTAACTGGCAATGTTCATTAATTAATGAAGTCCAAAGGACGCAGGACGCCACTTCATAGTGGTACGTCCGCAATGAAAACATGTGACCGGAACCGGAGGTTAACCATGACGTTGGAACGTAATGACGCAGATGACGTCCCGACGTCCATACCGGAAATGGAAGATCGCGATCACAGAGCGGGAAAATAAGTCGCCAACTACAAGTATTTAAGACCGAATGCCTTGGATTTCTACATCACTTCCGATGAAGGCGATAGCCGAAACGTGTCAAGTGTTTGGACTCTCGATTTGGGACTTTCTATTTATTACTTCTGTTTTTAATTTGCTTCCCGAGATTGGAAGATAAAATCTTTGTAACCCCTGTTATTCTGCGACCTGGAGGTACTACATACAGAGAAGACAGTAGTTCCTAGCAGAGGTCCTATTTAATTTATTCAAGGCATGCAGTCTGAGCCAGCTTATTAAGTGGCTCCCCTTATGTGAGTGAGACTAACACCTATGTTTAATTATTCAGTTTAAACAATATTACCATATGTCTTTCTTTTCTGATTTTATTCCCTAGATTGATTGACTACATTGTGGGTTTTATATCTTATTGTGTGCTCTCACCATATCTTATTTTCAATGCTGGACTTGTGTCTTCACTGGGATATTGTTTTTAGCACATCCAGACAAACCAGAGGCTGCCATTAGCTTACATATACATCTGTTTTATTGGTAGGAAAACATAAAGGGTATGAGGCTCGCAGGCCCCCATGTGGAACATTGTAAGTACATACAACATGTCGCATTTGACAGTCCATTTTTGGAGTGCATCTTATCAAACTTTGGTACATTGCTTAGTTGCTTTGGGTTTGTACATGACTAGGGCATTTGTAATATACATAGGTGCAATAGGAATGCAATTTTCGAGGTAACCACTTTCATTCTATGTTAGGGCGTGTGTGTCTGGTTATCGTTCCACTCTCGCAGTGTGCCCCTTCTTATATGCAGTTACTGCTTTCTAACATTCAGTAGGTTGCATGCTGCTTTCCAAGTCAAGAACGGGTTAATGCACAGGGGGTAGAAATTGTTGGAAGGAAGAAAGGAAAGGGTTATAGGTATGGAGGGTTCCCCCCCCCCTGCTTTCCTCGCTAACGCCTCTGGGCAAGGTATGAGCTTTGTGTTGTTGCATAGTGTGTGAGGGTTTTTCGGTTCTGTTGGTCTATCGCGTGGAGTGTATTCTGGAGGTTGGGTGATAGTCCATGTACGTGTACCGTCCTGTGTCCGTATAAGTTCTCGGAGTATCGCTTTAATTTTTATGTTGTTTATCTAGTTGAGATCCATTAGTTATATTGTATAGTTCTTTCCTTTTCTTTAGTATCAAAAGTATGTCTCTTGTAATTTACTCCACTACTACCTGATGCATAAGCGCCTGACGAGCTGTAATTTGATCTAACATATGGTGTAGGTACCGGTTATTTTTCAGTTCAGCAGACCTTGTGACTACCGATTATTCATCAACTTCTTCAACAAAAAAACAGTGCAGTGTTTCTTGATGTTTTGTGCCAAATCTCTATGACCTTCATAGCTATCTGTATTCACACAAAATATCAATCTAAGCTTGTATGTTTTTCTTTGCACTACAAAAATAAAGAATTATAAATAAAAAACAACAACATTTTCCTATCTCAGGCTATGGTATATATGTGACTAATAATATTTTATTTTGAATGATGTCAACATCTTAATATAAATATTTTGGGGGAAATAGTTAAAGGGACACTATAGTCACTAGAACAACTTAACAGCTTATTGTAGTTGTTATGGTGAGTATAGTCAGGCAGTGGCGTACTCATGACCCATGGGGCCCCGGTGCGAAAATCGATCCGTGGAACCCCCCCCCTCCCCGCGCTTACTCAGCGCAGGTCGGGGCCGCAACACATGGCGGCAGGCACCTAGTCGCAGGGGTTGCAGGGCTGCGACCCCGCGACCGCGGTATGCACACACACTTAAAGGATCACTACAGACACCCAGATCACATCAGCTCAATGAAGTGGTCTGGGTGCCAGGTCCCGCTAGTTTTAACCCTGCAGCTGAAAACATAGCAGTTTCAGAGAAACGGCTATGTTTCACTGAGGGTTAATCCAGTCTCTGGTGGTTGTCTCATTGAGAGCTGCTAGAGGAGCTTCCGCGATTCTCACTGTGAAAATCACAGTGAGAAGACACTAAACGTCCATAGGAAAGCATTGAGTAATGCTTTCCTATGGGCGGTTTAAATGCGCGCGCGCGCCTCTTGCCGCGCATCTGCATTCGGAGCTGAGAGGCGGAGGGATCCCCAGCGCCAAGGGAGTCCGACGCTGGAGAAAGGTAAATGCTGAAGACACACACACACACATTCTCACGAACAGACGCATACACACTAGCTAACAGACACACACATTTACTGACAGAGACACACTCAGCGACAGACATACATACACACTCACAAAACATACACTTTCACTGACAAACACACACTCACAGACATCAAATACACTCAGTAACAGACACACACAGTAACACACTCACTAGCAGACACACACCCAATAACAGACACACTCACTGACACACACACACTAACACAAACAAACACTAACACACACACACTATAACACACACACACTATAACACACACACACACACACATTTTTTTTTTTTTTAATTTAATCCCCCCAGCCTCCTTACCTTTTGGAGTGCTGGGGGGATTCCCTGGGGTCCAGTGGTGCTGCTGGGCGGGCGGGCTGGCTGGCTGTCCGGCACGCGAGGGAGCACTCTCCCCATAGTGCTTCCTCTTCAGCTCCCTCGCACGCCACATAGGGATGCTGGCGCCGGAAGATGACGTCATCTTCCGGCTCTGGTATCAGTGCGGTGCGTGAGGGAACGGAAGAGGAAGCACTTAGGGGAAAGTGCTCCCTCGCGCGCCGGACAGCCAGCCAGCCTGTCTGCCGGGGTCAGCAGGGCCAGCCTCGGGGGGGCTCTGAGGTGGCCGCCGCCTGGGCCCCCCAGGAGAAGAGGCTGGCCCTGTGGGTACATACCAGGTTGCAGGGGTGGCCGGGCCCCCTGGTGGGCCGGGCCCGGTCGCATCCGCGACCCTTGTGACCCTGGTATGTACGCCACTGCCTGCAGGCTTTCCAATGTCAACACTGCCTTTTCAGAGAAAACCTAGGAACACCTCTAGTGGCAGTTACTCAGATGGCCACTAGAGGTGCTTCTTAATCCAGTACTACACAGTGCACTGACATTTAGCATCTCCGCGCTCTGCATGGAGACGCTGAATGCTCCCATAGTGATACATTGACTGTATGCATCTCTAGGATGAGATCCTGGTTGGTAAAGTGCAACGTTTTGCAGGGCTAGTGCAATAACCTCCCAATGCTTTCCTATGGAAAATCATTGAATTGTCTGAGATCATCAAAATTGATAATCTCAGCCATGGAGGCAGAGCCAGCC